TTTTTTTTTCAAACAATAATAATAATAATAAAAAAAAAACAGAAATCAAAATTGCAACAGAAAAAATAAAGATTAAAAGACGTGGCTTTATGCGCACCTGAAGTATTGTTTTTCTTGTTATGCTAAAAATAGTTTGACCCTAGAACTACTCATGTAAAGTCATAAATGTCAAATTTTATGGTGTGTTGTTCTTTTCTGTGAAGATTCAAAGTGAACACATTTTGGTTAAAAAATTAACAATAAGATAAGTAAAATTAAACTGAGATATGTGGTTTTAACAGCAACTGATCTAACTTTTAAATTTAACACACATCACAAACAACAAAAATTACAAGGCACGTGAAAGAAGCAGAGCTGCCATCCCTCAGAATGGGAACTCATTTTGTGACTTCCAATTTAGGTCAAAAGGAGAGAATGTGTTTAGAGCAGGATCTTCATGCCCTTTGTTCTATAAGCATTCCAAATATGTATGCATGTGTTGAGATTTAGCCAAAACAAAGTCCTTACGTCTGCTATGGAGCTACATATATAACCTCCTCATAAGGGCCTGCAGGTTTGGGCTGAACACTCACAGCAGTAAAACAACACACAGTTCAGTCTGTACAGTTAAACTTGCTGTACCTCTTCATTTCAACATACTACTTTTTTCTTTGGAAATATTATGTTTATACAGAATCAGAACTTATTATGGCCGTCCTTGAGGCACATTCCCTTTGAACTGATCTGAGTTAGAAAATATTTCAAATGGGAGCAACATGCCAGGAAGTCTTCAGGGCCCTCGGCCATGTTTCCTGTGCATGATCTTATAGTGCATTCTAAGGCTCATGTTTATGACGGTATCAAGGGAACAGGGCAGGCCTTCAAATGAAAACACTGGAAGCTCAACTGAGAGCCATTCCTAAGCTAAAAAGGGACACAGTTGCATTATTATATTAGGAGATCACAAATAAATATAGACTTTGTGTTGAAGTTTGCCTCTTTCAAACAACCTGGTGTCCGATGTCATGTTGCGTATAAACTCACTGGTAGCAGTTGTTGTGAAAGCGGTTGTAGCTGCCAAGTGCAGTAAGTGCACCGAGTCCAATGGCATAGGAGAAGAAAATCTGAGTGCCGGCGTCAATCCATACCTAATGATAAAATAAAAAGTAACATTTTATTTAGTGTTCTTAGACAAAATTGTACAAACTTGCTATGGTTGTCCAGGACCCATTAAAAAAAAAACGCTACGCTGACACACAAAGGAATGCTCATGCAAAAATTCTGAACCTGTGCTTCTCCAAGTTTGGACCAGTCGGGTTTCAGGTAGTAAACGATGCCATCCAAAGCTCCAGGCAGAGTGACTCCATGAGCCAGAAGGACCACCAGAACCAGATAGGGAAACAGAGCTGTAAAGTACACAACCTACAGAGGAAGGGGAAAAAATTAAGAGCTTCAAAATGAAATTCTGGATATTGTGGGAACAATTTGTAGAAATTAAGTAAAAGATAAAAAAAACATGTGCACATTACATTTTCAATAGAGGCTAACTGAACAGATTTTGCACCTATTAGTTATTGTAAAGGGCAGCCGCAGGTGAGCATGGCTAAAGTACACTTCTTATCACTTTGATTAGGCATTTACCTGCTTTGCAAATACTCAAGACATAAGTAGAAGCCATTAGGTCCTTCCTGTAGTAGATGTGTAATCAGGCCTGTCATGCTACTTTGATGAAAAGGTCTCCTGTAAATGGAAAGCCAGACAGTTTGTAAACCGCCTGCAAGAGCAGGTGGTTTTGGCAGACCATTTTTTTAAAGTATTTTTTTGCCAAGTTATACTGAAACTGCACTCTTGTTTTTCAGTACGTGTTTGAGCAAAATAGTAAGTAGTTGTAGAAAAAAAAACATTTTGTCTTAATCTGCTGTGACTTATAGTTAGAGAAGTCCAGCCTGCAAACACGTACGTGGAGGAAAGTTAATAATCGGCTTACAGCTGGCCCGCTAAATCGCTTTCATTGTTTTTGCCCCCGGCTCTATGGGCTTTGGCTACTAGGGAGACACAAGTGTGCAAACACAGTTTCTTCTATGTGTTACGAAACAAGGATTTGTTTATTATGTCAGTGTATGAATGGGCGCAGTTTAAAAGTCACAAGTGGTTATCTACTTTCTCAGAACAATATCTAATGAGAAATACAATAATGATATTACAGCGACACCATAAATGGGCCAGCACTTGAAGGAAACTAGGTGAGCTTGTACAGAGCTTCAGTCTAGACTTTGATCCTCCATCTAAACTTAAGCTTATTGGAGCCAAAGGGCAAAATGCTGTGATTATTCCCCGCCATTGGGTGCAGCTAGTTTTCAAAGTGTTTGAACATTAATATTAACCTCCACTCCCTGAACTTAAAAAAACACGTGACAATATGTGTCATGAACGGTTCTGCTAGGAAATACTTCACCTTGCCAGTAGATTTAACGCCTTTCCACATGCAGAAGTAAACAATGACCCAGGTGACTATTAGACACAGCACCATCTCGTAACTTATGACACCAGGTTCGTGTAGGCCTCCGGACAGACGAAGCACTTTGCGTCTGGAATGAGGAACAGAGACGTTTGACAAAAAGAAACACAACACTGAATGCTAACATCATCAACATGCAGTGGGTGAACTGTGTTCTGCAAGTCAAATCAATTTGTCTATGAGGCTTGCAAGTACAAGAATAATGCAAAAATAGGGGAAGGTTTTGCACCTGGCAAGATCAGAAGATCAGAATATTCAAAGTGAAGGTTTGCATTACTTGGAAAACTGAACGCAATAACTCAAATTTCAGAAGACAACAAAACACAATTTTCAAATGAGCGTGCTGATTTTCTTTTCAGAGAAAATGTGTAATAAAAAAATGCAGACAGCCCGATCAACCAAAGAGGCCACATACTCCCAGAACTCGATGACTGGCGAGCGCAGGCCCTCAGCCTCCACGCAGCTGCCGTTAAGAAGGAGCTGAGATGTCGACAGGTTCAGTGGGGTCACGGTGGGGAGGGGGCTGGAGGGGAGGGCGGCAGATGACGGCAGAGCAGGCGAGGCGGCGCTCCGGTTGTGGCACGTACGTCGGAAGTCCTGCGTACAGTTGGGGGTGTTCCAGGGGTGTCCACAGGTGGCCCAGGGCAGCGGGTTAGTGAAAGAGTGGAAGAGAAAGTAGAGGCCCCACACCAGGATCATGATGTAGTAGGTATTACAGAAGAACACGATCACCATCGAGGCTAGGCCCAGACCTGACAGAGAGAAGACACAGCTGAACTTTTAGAACCAAACAGGGATTTAAACATCCTTTTTGGCGCGCCGCCCTCAGTAGCTACCTTTGAAGAGAGGCGCGATGTTCCAGGCTGAGACTCCTCCTTGTTTCATGAACTGGCCCAGAGCGATCTCAAGGAAGAAGACAGGGATGCCCCCGATGAACACAATCAGCAAGTAAGGGATCAGGAAAACCCCTGCAGCACCCAAAAAAAACACACATTCAGCACACTGTATATGAAGCAACAGGCAAGCAGAAACATTGATTTTTGACAACAAASGCTTATTAACTCTGAGAAAACATCCTGCTCTGTGAGCATATGCTTTAAAGTTAGCCTGCTCCAACATGTGATCTCTTCAACATCTACACTCCAGTAAAAGCCCTACTGACCAGTTTCTCTTAGATGTTCTACATTCTAAATAAAAAAATAACTTCTTAGTCTCGATGCTTAAGACCCATCACATTTCCTTGGCATTTGATTTAAGCAGAGTGATCAAAGAGAGCTGATGGTTTTAAGTCGTGTTTCTGTGTTTTTACACTTTTTAACTGTTGTTTTGAACTTTAAATCACTTTGGTCAACGCGTGTTGCTTTCGATGTATTTATAGAAATAAACCTGCCAATAATTTTTATAAATTCTAAGTGACATATCTTCCAGAGTTTTTCATACTAGTTTTAAATTGATATCCAATTATTATGACCAGATTTTACCTTATAAAGTACATGTATTTTAGAAAATAAAAGATGTTTTTTATTCAAATATTAGGAGTTATAACAAAACAAATAATCAAGACAGAAAGGAAACAAAGGACAGAGTGAGATCCTGAGAGAGGAGGAGGAACAGCGGGACAAAAGAGGCATTGAAACTCYAGGTGGGAGATGAACACGTTGTCTCTTATTTCACAAGTGTTTGGGTCATATTTGCCGAGTGAAGTATCGGCCTTGAACTTGAAAGCCGCGAGAGGAAAGAGGAAACGAACAAAGGCGTTTCAGAACGGAGACAACTAGGAGACAAAAGACTCGAGGTAACAGAAGACACGTAGGCTTGATAGAGGAACTTGTGGGTTTGCACGCAGTGCCTTTCTGCCTTTGGATTCTTTCGTCGGAGCAGCTGTTTGAGCAGCTCAGCTCACTAAATACAAAATAAACCGCTTTGTTTTGTGAACAACACAGCTGAGTGATGCCACCACAGAGCACAGATGGGATGAAGTCACGTGACCAGCTATGATGCAGAGCAGAACGAGGCCATGAAGAAAGGAGGGAAAGATTGCTAGACTGCAGGAGAGGCAGGTAGAGAAGTGGAACAGCACTGGGGTAGAAAAGCTAACAAATACACATAAGCATTGATCTGGTGTACCATTCTGATCCAGTTCAGCATTTCCCCTACCATTATCCAAACCCAATGAATGAAAATGTCGATCATATTCTGTGTCACTGACACTGACTCACGCAGAGTCATGTACGTAAGTCTTTTTTTGTTATTGTTTTTGGCGTAACCCCCCTGACCAATTCCCTGGGGAAAACATGGCAGTTGTACTGGAAAGTGAGAATTTCCCACTTACTAGTCATAAACTTAAACTGGAATGCCCGTGGMAATTCCTAGTTGGAACGTGGAACTATCTCTGACTACTGCTGCATTCCATTTACCTCAGAACTCGGAACTGAGAAGTCAAAATTACATCATTTACGATTAGAAAGATGCGGACCCCATCACCTGAGGCTCAGTACAATGACAACTGTTAGAACCCTGAGAGTTTCAAACCACAGCAGGTAAGATAGTACCAATAATAATAGTAACTAAAACAATAGCAATAAAGTCAATAAAATTCAATGTTAATCTGTTGATTTTTCTGGTGTTCAGACGAGCTCATTTACAGTGTGGACCCAGCGAGCCCCTTACACGGCGCTTCAGGCACTTACACAACTTTAAAGTCAAGCACCAGTTCATAAGTTATTTTTTAAATTCCTGCCAACTTTTAATGTGGTAATTTATTCATATGTTAATATTTACCCTGAAGTGTTCTTATATTTGGTACTGTGTGATTAATTTTACTTTGTTAATAAAATGTTGTTTGAACAATCAAGACTTTTTTCTTCAACCACAACCTATAAGTGAAACAATGAAAACGAAACAGTAGATTGCAAAAACCTCTTGTTTAATGAAACTCAAATACTCTCCCAAATAACACTATTTAACACATAATATGATTGTTTGTTACTTTATTAATACAGCACCACAAAAATTATTCATTTCAATTTGACCACAAATCAAAAAATCTAAATCTAATCTTTTTTCCACCAAGAAGTTTCTTACAACGGCCACAAAAAAGTTCAAATCATCAAATGGGGTTAGAAACAGGGCCTCCAGGACAAAAGGTGAATGTTCTTGACATTTCATCTCCCTGCAACTGGGCTGCCATGTGGGTGTTCCTGCATATTTCTGACATCCCAGTGCACAAGTTATACAGAGAGCAGCTGCAGCATCAGTCCTGGTGTTCTGCAGAACATGAAGACGTCTCCACCTGTACTTCAACCGTCTGAAGGCTTGCTCTCCTTCACCTGGTTCAAGTATTCAGGATGATTTGCTGCTTTTCCCGCAGTTTGGTCTTATTAGTATCCTTGAAAACCAAGATGCAAGTATTAAACAAAGTATGTAAATAATAATATGCAACATTTCATCATAAATCTAACATCTACTTTAATATTGTGCCACGTGAATACTAATAAAAATTACAAACTGATCTGAATTAAGTCATTTGTTTTGTACAAAGAAACAGCAACTCTACCTTCTGCACCTTCATCCTTCTCCGATGTGTTCTTCAAGTGGTCTGCATATTTGTGTCATAACCTTTTAAACTCCGAAACATTCGGAACAACACAGACTTGGTGCTCTGGGCGCCCATCTTTTTTACGACTTCTGACAAGCTGGATCGCTGTCAACTCGTAAAGGACCTCATTCCGACTTCTCAGCTCCGAGGTACATGGAACGCAGCATTAGCCATAAAAGGAAACGTGTGTGAGGTGTGAGTGTAAGTGGGTGGGGGTGAGGGGTGGGGGGGTCAGGAAAGACCCAAACAGAGAAGGAAAGGAAAGGAAGGGGGATAATGCTGACAAATCTTAACTTATTGGCCAAATTATGAAGAAGCTTGTTCTTACACCCTCGAGTAAATCCTCTTTGATCATTCACTGATGAGACACATTAGGACTAGCAGATGAGATACAGTGAGACAGATGATTTGTGGAGCATTAATCACATAACTAAGTGGTACATCTGTCTTCTGTTTTCAGTAGAGTGCAGAGTTGATTCAGTTACTTGCAGGTGCTACTACAAGCCCCATCGCTTATCTGATACCTGTTTTTACAACGTGTACCCTGGGTTAGTCAAGGGCAACGGTGCTGTAGCAGATGAGACTGCGCTGAGAGGACGAAGGAAAGGGCGCTGTCACAGAATGGTTATTGTGTGACTTCTCCATATGCCCTCTTATCAGGACGGGGGTGGGAGAGATCACCTAAGCACGCCTCATGACTGCTGAACGAGCTCACAGAGAAGCGGGGGTGGACTGTGTGAGGCGGGCCATTGTTATATGATACCAGTAGGTAGGTATCAAAGCTACCAGTCACAAGACACACACAGGAGGGAGGGACAGACAAAAACGCATGCACGCACACACACACACGCAATGTTAAATTCCAGTTTGATTTAATAAAACGCCCTTATGAAATCTGAAAAGGTGGGTAGKGCAGCAAAAAGACAAACTGAGGTCAAAWRCCACGGTCAGGTGGGGTTACTGTTGGATATTTCAGAAATGCAGACGTAATACAGCTCAAAGACCTTGTATGCCAACGACAGCAGAAGGAACTCTGCTGGGCACGTTGCACCGCGTCCGTCYGGTGCGCAGCAGGTGACTGTAATAAATAAAGACAATCACGTGGGGAGGCACAGCTTTAGAGATATGTGTTCACAGCCACGCAGGCCCGTTGCCTGTTCTAACAGTGTTATGTTTCACCATTCTGACCTTCTGAAAGTATACTCTCTAGACCAGTGGTGCCCAAAGTTGGGGTCGAGACCCAAAGTGGGGTCCTGAAACATCAMGGTGGGGTCCTGAAAAGATTTCCTAAATTAACTACATTTTTGCCTTAGTTGCCTAAAATGCATGAATGTAGAATAATAAATATTGTTACTATGCCCACGTTTAGTTGACCTGATACAAATGTTTACCATCAAAAAACAGTTGTGGGCACAGGTCTCTGCTACTGTGATTTTGTGGGTCAAAAGCTGAAAGCTTTGGGAACCACTGCACTTCAGAAATCAATTTAAAGTGTAATAAAATAATTGGTGGTGCAATATTTTCCCTATAATTATTACAAAAACACAAAATAAGTATAAATAAGTATTTATATTTGTGTAGCCTTTGTTTTAGGATTATTAACAAAGTTTGTGTACTCAGACCAGTAATATTTGGGGTCACAGGTTTTTGCCATGAATATTTTGTGGGTCAGAAGATAAAAAGTTTGGGAACCACTGCTCTAAACTGTAAGTTGTACAAAGAGAGAAGTCAAACGTCTGCGTCTACAACATCTGTTCACTACTTTTTTGTGTGTCTTTGGTAAATTATTGCACCTAGAAACCGTCTAAGTCATGAATGTTCTTTTTCATTTCGGTGTGGTCGGTGCTAAATACAGCTAACCTTATTTATATAGTAGCTTAGGAAAATGTTCCAAGGCCTGATTTTCCCAATGATACCAGACGGTAGAGACAAGCACGTGGAAAGGAGAAGTCATTCGGAAACTCAAAATTCCAAGCTCTCGGAAACTAAGAAACAGCACAAGACACAAGGCTGCACAGTCAGCAGTGCATTGACTAACGTAAAGATATTTGAGCCATTTGTAGAGGTGTCAAAAGTATTCACATTCATTATTTAAGTAGAAGTATAGATACTAGGRTTTAAAAATACTTTTTGGAAGTAGAAGTATCAACTCAAGCTTTTTGCTCAAGTAAAAGTAAGAAAGTACTGATGTTAAAACTACTTAAAATATAAAAAGTAAAAGTAATGAACACTTTAAAAAAGCCATTAAGGATAAAAGCTTAGGCTACGCCACAGGGTTAGTGTACACCCCCACCCCAATTTTCTTCCAAAGTCAATAATGAGTATAATGTTAAATTAAAATGTTAATGTTGAAAATTTTGAATTAAGACGAGTTTCAGCCACGATACTCTTCATTCTTGGCTACATGCATCTGCTACAGTTCGTCCTGCTGGAATGTGATGTGATTTGTCTCAAACAGGTGTGATGGAGTGAGTTCAATCCAATAAGGTGTCAGAAAAGTGTTTATTTACACTTCTCATCCAACCACAATCAAATTCACTCTATCCACGGACTCCACGTATCTGGATAGATTTCTATTTATTTATTTATTTATTTATTTTTCTGAACAATGAAAAGATGGAATAAAAACAAGTCAAAGTTACATAAAAATGAAATACTTTTTGAATTTTTAAAAAGCAAGCAGTAGAAAGTACAGATAATTGAATTAAAATGTAAGGAGTTGAAGTAAAAAGTAGGCTAAAAAATAATTACTCCACTAAAGTATAAATAACCAAAATTTTTACTTAAGTTAAGTAACAAAGTACTTGTACTTAGTTACTTGACACCTCTGGCCATTTGTAGACAACACCGCTGTTGACACAAAGATTTCGAGACTCAACGTTGGAGCGCAATGGAAGGAAAACAAGGACATCGCAGAATAATTGGTGACAAAGTGCACGAGGAGTTGCATTCATTCATTGCAGTGACGAGGACGTCCTTATTAGGAAAACACAGGTGGCAGCAACTGCRAAGTAAGCATGTTCGCTCTGAGCGCTGTGTTTTCCATATCCACCACCCAGGTGATTAAGGACTCAAGGAACTAATGACTATGTGATTTTTTTTCCCCAACTGACTATTATTAACATGGCTTGTTTTGTTGTACGGGCAGACAATATATAACACATGCCAAAACAGTTTAAAAGGTTTGTATCATATGAGTAAAATATAAACTGCTTTGCTAATAGCGAGCAACTCAGCAGGATGTTTTCAAAGCTTAGCATTGACTCACTGAGAATTAATAAAGGAGGAAGAAACTCTGACACTGTKACATACGTGATTTACGTCAAATGGTTTTGAACAGTTTGAGGTTTTCTTTTTGCTTACTTCAAAAATATAAATGCAGTGTGGCCATTTCATTGCATTAAAAATGTATTTTTAAACTAACCTTCCTCAATCATTGTGTAAGTGTGCATTTATATCTCTAGCAAATCCACAGATAATCAATTGTTTTTTAACACATTTTTAAGCAATAATTACATTAAATAAAAAAACAAAAATGGAATATTTGTTTCATACAAAGGTTATGTTAAGTTAAGAATATGAGTGGATTTATATTATTATTGATACAGAAACATCTGAGCAAAGTTAATGATGTTTCTTTGTTCTTAATGTGAATTGTGAATATATATTAAAAAAATCTCAAGAGTATTATCCTTATTCTTTAAACTTGATCAATAATGACTGGTATCATAGTTTTTGAAAGTTGGCTCTGAATATCAGTTTTCCATACATTTGGCAAGAAAAAAGTGTATTTTAACTGTGCCCTGTTGCGAGCAGACAAAATGCAGAGACAGTTATTGGTCTTGAAGGCTCACCTCCTCCGTTCTTGTAGCAGAGGTACGGGAAGCGCCACACGTTTCCCAGGCCGACGGCAAATCCTACGCAGGACATGATGAAGTCCATCTGTCTGGTCCAGGTCTCTCTCTCCACTTCCGGTCCTGCGACCACGCCGTTTGCGTTCGCGACCGGAGCCCCATCCTGGCTCTGCGGTGGGCCAGCCCCTCCGCCATCACCACACCCGGGGCCCGCACCGGGCACAGGCACCAGGGGACGAGCTGACCCCCCACTGTCCTCTTCGGACAGGGTCCCTGCCTCCAACTGGGAGACGCTGATTTCACCTGAACACAGAAAGAAGGGGTCGGATGAAAGAGAAGAGAGGGTGAGTTGAGTCAAAGCCAAAGAATTGCTGCAAATATAAACAAACATGCTTTAAGACAATATTCTTACCATTGAACGAAAAACAAGCCAGTTCCATCACACCCAATCATGAACTATCCTCAATAAATGGTGCAAAACGATTAAGCTACATCTCACAAGATTGATTTTCATTTCAGTTTGAACTACCTTCATTGTGTTGTGACACAGTGTCACCACTGAACCCTCCCCTGATGTTTATTCTTTCAGTTTCAGTCTGACAGAGTGATTCATGTGCTGCAGTACAGCACACCACACTCACCTCAATGTCTAAATACGTGTTACTCAGAAAGTATTTTATTTCTGGCTCTACTTTATTACAAAAAAGAATTAAAATAAGAATCACCTACAAGACCAATCTATATAGACACATAATTAAGCGTGAGGTCAGATCACTTCCTGAGTGACGTTCCACAATAGCCCTGACAGTCAGACGCTCTGTGAYGGATGCAAAGCGAAGGCAGATGAATCCAGATCGGAGCAGTTTGAGGGGGTGTGTGTGAATAGCAATGGGCGAATGATGTAAGCATCTATGAGGCAACTTAACAAGACATGGCCTGTGGGTTCAGGTCATTTGTGTGGCGAATGGCTGAGCAAATAATTATTGGATGCTTTGCCACAAATGTGAAAAGCGAGGTTGAGAATTAATTGCTATGGCACCGTTATGAGAGGAGTACAAGTCAAACATAAATACATGTGTTCATGCTTAATTCTAAAGGACAGACAGCCAACTTGAATGGTGATGATGACTTGAGGGTATTTGCATAAGGTTTTGTTTAGATTTAAATGGCCATCTAAGCACTCTAACTTGTCAGGCATCATTTGCTCCTGAATGACTGCAGGCTGAGGTCAGTCCTGGTTTCGTGTTTATTATTACATGTCTACATGCATGATGTGAGGGAGCAGCTGGTGTGTGGCTGTTTGATCCCAGGCTGATGGTGAGTGACAGGGATGCTCTCATTGCACTTGTTAGTCCTTATTGTTCAGCTGTAAATTAAATTAAATACAACAAATAAAAGCAGTGGGTTTTGTACATCTTAAACTCACCTTGGCTGTTCTCTTCCACCTCAGGTGACATTTTCTTGAGCAGAAAAAAATAGTTATTATATTTATGAGCAAGCTGGCTGGGCTTTTTTTTTTAATCTAGGAAGGGGAGAAATTAAGTTCTAAAAAATGGCAGGTTATATGAAGGACACCCGACAGGCTCAGGGAGGCAGACAGAGAGGGATGTAGTCACAATCAATCCAATGGGTTTTGTGATTCTCTGAGTTTGTTATTTCTTCGTCTTGGGATGGAAAAAAAATGCGTTTTAAATCTCAGTTTATTGTGAATATCACAGGTTGGAACCCGTTAGCTCTGCCGAGAAGAGATGGAAAAAAATGTCACAAAGCGCCGCGGTCGGGTGAGCCGTGGACCGGAGGAGATTCAAAAGCAGTCGACGAAGCACTTGAAGGTAAGCCTGAAGAATCTCATGGATAACCYTTAAATGAAAATAATACTACGCCTCAGAGGAAAGAATTGTTGTCGGGCTTTATTTTTCGTTCGATTCAAAAGCTGGGTCAGAAGTCCATATGTTCCGTTTCAAGGAGACACCTCTGGCTTCGACGGCCGCAGAACGCTATCTGAGGCTGCTCGGCTCCACGGTCAGTCAGCAGTGACGGACTTTCTCTCCCTCCGCCCGGCCCCGCCCCCACTCCGGCTGCGGGCCGCTCTGATTGGCTGGGAGCGGCCGGTGCGGCGCGCAGAGCATCATCAGCACCCATCAAAGGGAGAAGTCACAACGATGGCTTTATTACGTCTTTGACCTGAAATCGTAGAGAGGGAAAAAAAAATGCCGCAGAGTCTGGTGGCTTCGGATGTGTTCTATTTATTTGTTCTATTTCTCAAGGCGTCGGGAAATGTGTTAAAATTATCCCTGTGACTGTGTCAGCGTAGGAAAATCACAGTAKTTTCAGTCTTCTGAGTGGAAAATCACCTTCTCCATTTGGCAGTACAACGCAGGCTCTTAAAAATGCGTGATCCTATTAACTCTGATGTTGGCACATTATTAGATTAGTATCGCTTTGATWGTAATTTGAACCAATTTGTATGCAGATTCATGTAAAATAACACAATAAATCTGAAAGACCCTTAAAAGATTCATGTTGCAGGAAAAAAATATCACAATGTTGTTCTGCAGGATTACGTTTAATGTTTTCTGTGACTATCTAATAAAAGRAATGCATATCGACCACCGCCATCCATGCTAGAGTTTGAAACTAAACATCATCTTCTGCAGACAAATGAAAGAGTCATACCCATTTTGGTCACGCATTTTAATATGACGTTATTTACAGTCTCATGCAAGATCTCGCGAGATGTGATGGTGTTCATTGTTACGTATTGCTTATGACTCATACCAACCAAGAACTGGCTGATTCAATGTTTTCCATCTTTTCAGATTTATGTAAATCGACAAATAAATCTGAAAGAGCTTTAAACGATTCATTTGAGAGAAAACCAATCTTCATCTACATAACTGTATTCTGTATTTTAAACTATTGACACAATATTTGCTGAGACTTAAATATTAAAACTGCATGATAGAAGAAAGTAATATAGATTGCTGCATATTTGTTAATCTTAACAAAACATGCTCCCCAAATATTTAGTTTTTATGTACTCAACAAAATCATAGGATTCAATTGAGGTTTAGTTTTATAGTATTACTAAACCAAGATTACAGCAGCTGTAAAGTATCAAAATAAAGTTTAGTTTATGGTAATAATTTACCAGATTTTTGTTGATTATTATTCTATATTATAAAAGGTATCACATAAAGAGGTACAATTAGAAATCAAGTTATGAATAATTTAACATATGACTTACATAACATTTTCACTGGTATGACTGTGATTATAAGGGATTTGAAACGGATTTCTTAGTGTTTTGGTGGTGGAGCTTTTCACAGAAATACGAAACATAAGCTTTTAAAACAATATTCTAAACATTAGCTGTAATAATAAATTCTAATTTGAAATTTTTTTTAAACTGGCTTTTTAAACTTTTAAAGTCCCCTGCTAAAAAATTGTGGCACTGTACTCAGTGTTGGGCGACATCTAGTGGCCAAAGACTGCAACAACAGAAAATAACAATTACACACTACAACTCAATGCGCACCACTAATTAAACAAAGCTTTAATGAAATACATTCCTTGTCTCACACAACAAATACAGAAACACAGTTACAGATTGAGTGCAATACCAAGCATTTATAAATACACTATAAATGATCAAACCATGGTGATAAATAAGTCTCAAATAAACAGTCTCATAATAAATAAGTTCAAGTTGTCAAAAAATGAAAAATTGACAAACCTTTAAAATCTCACCTGAAGGAATGGCTTTGTATTTATTGTTGCCTAGTCCAAGATAGTTCTGACCCTTTTTTTGGTTAGTTCTTATTAAATAACACTTTATAACTGTGCAATCACAAATAAAGACAGAGCCAACACAGAAATGTCTCTCACTTGTCACTTGGAAACACATTCACACACAAATATTATGACATGGCTTTTAACAAAGGGCTTTCATGCCATATAATAATAAGAAAAATTTAAATAGAATAAATAAACCTGATGACCTGCAAAAAGAGATGCCTAAAGTCAAACAAAAAGTAGGTAAGCAGGCTTCTTTGAGTTATAACGGCAGCTTTCATAGCTCTCATTGTGTTCTTATTTGTTGTTTTTTTAAACAATTTTTAAAGTGCAGTTTCATGGAGTTGAATAAATAAATAAAATAATTACAATAAATAATATAAAGTTGAACTCATATATGTATCAACGCACCATAAAAAAACAACATTTTTTAGTAGGATATAAGTAATTTTGTGCAATTCTCACTTCAACCACAGTAATAAGCAAAACTGTTAACCCACGCTAAATTCCTTTAGATTTTGCTTCCAAAGAGGACTCCTTTGTAATTTTTCAGGCAAGATGAGCAAAGGTTTTTAAACTAACTTACAAAAAAAAATTAAATTTTACCTTATTGCTTACGGTGTAGTTTTATAAGTTTAAAAAAGCAGTGTATTGTAGCACAATAAAAAGCTATTAGCTGCAAACATATCTRTATGTGGTGTGTGTTGTCCCTTACAACTGAGTAAACTAAAATTGTCAACAGGTGAGAGATTTTTTTCTTGTTGTGTCGTTTTTGGTTCACATCCCTTTGGGAATCACCTTCCTTGAGCCAAAATTCCTTTTTTTTTCTTGTTATGTTGCTATTTTTTGCGCTTTATGTTGATGACAGGAAGGAACTAGTTTTATCATTGTCACTAGATGCTAATAGCTAATTTAATAAAGGGGAATTTTAAAATCAGGTTGGCATGAGTACGGGGCTGAACATGAGTACAAATCAACCAATTTCCAAGGATAAAATTCTTTGTAAGATATTTTTGAACGACCTTTAGAAAGATCACAAGAAAGTTTGGCTCTTTGGAAGCAAAATCAAAAGAAACAAGTGTGAGTCGACTTCACAGTTCTGCATCCTTTTTGACATTGTATACATATCAGCTGGATTTCACTGGAGAAAAAGACTTGGTTTAAAAAAAGCTGATTTGTAAAGTTATACCTGTACAAGAATATAACTATAGATCCAGATGGAGGTCACTGTGTGAAAGAGGATAGTACTGGTCCTCCATGCCAGACTTTGTTTGATGCCTTTGAGCTACTAGTCTCTGGTAGCGAGCCTGCTGCTGGTGATCCGGGTCCACATTAACCCARCTGTTGGCCACCCACTTCACTCCTCGCCTGACTGGACATTCGCCATGCAGGGAATACTCGTCTAACTCGCCCATCCAACCTGCACAAGCCAGGAGAGGAGAAAAACTACAAACATGAAGACAAACTACATTTAGACGTGAGGTGTTAGCATAGAGCTGTAACCACTGCAGGGAAAAATGCAAGATGTTCGAAAGTTTAAAAAAAAAGTTCCAAAATGTGAAAAACTAAAATGTTTCAATTAAATTTTTAGTCAACTACAGGCTTTAAACACGAGAGCAAATTTTGCCAATTAGCATTTTTTTTGCGTAAAATCTTCCAGATTTGTTTTTAACTTACTTTATTTCTCTACATACCAGGTCATGTTTTTAACAAGATTTATTTAGTTGATAAATACAAAATGTTATTAAAATATATGCTGCATAAAATACAGCCTTATTAAACTCTTCATTTGTCAAACCTTTATTACAGACTCAAGGTCCACAAAACAAAGACAAGAGAAGCAGATCAACAATAAAATCCAAAAACAAACGAAAAACTAAAACTAAAACAAAAAAACGATAGAAGACAGCTGTACCAGTACCTCCACAACTGGGACTGGTAACGTGTAACACTGAGTCTTATGTTAGTCAAGCTCATAATTGAATTACAGCATGCATTGACCCGACCAATAAATTTAAACATCAAATTTCTTAAAAGAGCCTGAAAGGTTTTGAGCCCAGGTGTCACAAAGAGACACAYATGCAATTCTTCTGCATCATTTTAAATAATATTTAAAACCACTAGCATTTGACCATGCTCATCATTTCAACTGTTCTTTTAAAAACAACATTTTAAGAGCCTTCAGAACTAAAAGAACAGTTACAAGTTCACAGCAATTTCGGTAGCACGAGGATGTTTTCTAAACCCGTTTTCCATCTAAAGCCCTGAACATGAAGCTCTTTCAATGTTGGCAGGGATGTTTCTTGTACTGCAAATGAGAACATTTGCAAGTTCATTCCAGTTTTACCTTCAGTTAAACACTTCATTCCTGCCATCTTTATAAGTAAAGTGAATTCTTACTCGTGCCTGTTAGTGCTCCACCATGTTTACAAAACAATTACCATTCTAAATATACCTGATCCTGTTTTTATTTAGGCACAGAGTTTAAACGGTTTGTGCATCATTATACCAAATTCAATGACACTAAAAAGATGAACCTGCTTAACTATTAAACATGTTTGCGTCTGACTAGATTCAGACCTAAAGGCTAGCAACACAAAACAAATTAACATACTTTACATCTTAAGTTTGTATACGATACAGAAAAGGCATGGTTTTTAAATTAATTTTTACCTCTGCCGTCAGAGAGATGGTTATACCAGAGGAGAGCGGTCCCAGTGATGGGCTTTATTCTCAGATTCCCTTTGCCACACGTCTGTTGGGTGTCTGTCAAATCCACTCCATCCTGGATCAGAGCCTAAAAATACAAAACGAGTTGCTTGAGGTTAAACTTTGTGCATTTTATCTAATTTTGTGGCTATTTCAGCTTCTCGCAAAACCAACAGTTAACATAAAGATAATACGGTTGAAACACAAGAGAGTGTGTTGTTTTAAAACAGTGCATTATGACAAAAGTCTCACYTGCTCATCGTAGGTACGATTATCCGCTACAGGGAAGGTAGTTTCACCACCATCCTCTGCAGAGCTGAGGTACAACGAGACGGTCAGATACCTGCAATAAAACCAGATCCAGGATTTTGGTGAACTTACTTACAGGTTTTTTTTTTTTTTGGGATATCTTTAGATTTAAAAGAAGGAAACTCAAAATGTTTGTCTGACACCTATTTTAAAAATGACTATCAAAGAATAAAAACAAACTAACTACTACTACTCACACACCTGCAAGAGACCTCTGTGAGAGCTGATGTGTTTCCTGCCAGTCGTGTGTGTGCGCAGGTGGTCTCTGGGTGGRAGGAGCTGCTGTCATGGTGAGCGCTGCTGAAATCTCCGTGCTCRTAACGATTCACCTGCAGCGGCTCGCTCAGCTCGACCAACGAGGAGGGCGAACGTGTCAGACCGATGACCCTAAACACCAGACGTGAGAACAGGGAGTTCCATTTTTTTGGTTTGAGTTTCTATGCAGAACAGAAACGCAGGGCGGATAAGTAGCGACCTTTTCCTGAGTGTTTGCAGCACATGGTGAGATCCTGGTCCTTGATACAGCCACGTATGATGGTTTCTCTGTTTGAAGTGACTATGCAGCTTCCCGCTTCGCTGCTGTGGTGGACGCCGAGACACATCGTACACCCGCCTGAAGTCCCCCAGGGTCAGCATCCCTGCCGGGAGCACAGAAAAACAGAACAACGGTTATTATTTCAGTCATGCAGTGCTGTGACTCCAGTTTAGTGGAATGCAGTCTTGAGTTTGTGCCACATTAGGAGTGACTGGGGGACGGGGGTGGGTTAACCAAAGAGGGGGTGGGGGTGGGGAGGTGAAATTAAAGAAAACAAGTGGGTGAACAAAAAGGTCTTAATGAGATAGGACACAGCCCATCCGGACGTGCAGAACGCCAGGCACAATGGTATTAGGTCAAAGTTGTGCCACCACACTTCCTGCCTTACCTCTCAAACACTCACACGCAATTTACTGTAGGAGTGACCGTTTATTGTTACTGTAAGCAGACACACAGTCGCAGCAGTAACACAGGTAGTAAACATTAACATACATGTCAGCAGGGTTTGYACACTTCTACCGCAGTAAAATTCAAGAACTTTTCAAGCCTTTTCAAGGCAAACTGTAAAGATTTTCCAGCATCGTTTATGTGTCTGTATCTCTGTGCCTTGTTCCACAGAGCTTTTAACCATGACACAGGCAGGATTCCTTTTTCAACCCTGGTCCTGTCCTGCGTATTTTAGATGTTTCCCTGCTTCAACACAGCTGATTTCAATTGATAACTGATTAACGGTAGAACTGCAATCATCTGAATCAGGTGTGTTAAARCACGGAAACTTCTAAAACATGCAGGGTAGTGTGCCTTGAGGACCAGGGTTGGGAAACACTGATCAGTGCAAATGAATAAAATTCTGCAAGGTTTAGWATTAATTTGAAATGGACATGTACAGGCAGAAAGAGCTCAAAAGATATCGCCGAGTCGCAGTTACTTTTTGCGTCATTAAAACCATTAGCTAATCACCTTTACTAGCATTTTCAATAAAAATGTTTTGKTGTTGCACATTTTAGCACTGCAGAAAACATAAAACCCTACCTCGATCCATTCTTCAAACGATCAATTTGGAATTTACTTTATAGCAATTTATTTTTGTGTCAAGAGTATATGGAAGTAAATTACAAGCACAGAAATCAGACGAGGACAAAATRATTCTGAAATCACTCAACTCAGTCGGACAAAAAACCATCAAACTTCTTCTGCATCACTGATTAGAGATTCTAAAAAATGATTTGATTTTTCTCTGATTATGTTTTATGACTCAAATGATGCCTTTTCCCAAATAAAGTCAGTTCCAAATGTGCCACAGACCTGTAGGACAGACTTCCAGACCGGTCAGGATTTGTCGTAAGTTTTCTGGGCTCAACCAGGTTCCGTCTCGAGAACGCGAATGACTCAAAATCTGGAAGAAATGCAAGATCTTTTTACGTTTTACTAAATGGACAATATTTTACGTCATCAAATTAGTAATGAAATTCTGTGCTCCTCCTTCTGCTACTTTGAAAATAAATAATCCGTGTTTCTCGATGGTCACCTCTTGCTTCTGCAGAAATCCATCTTGATTCAGGTCCAACAGACTAAAGACTTCCTCTGTGCTGAGCGAAAGTAGTGGCTGGTTCAATTCCTGTCCCTGGCTGGGTGTTAACGGCTGGCTGTCCATCAGACCCTTGAGCTGAGCCAGCTGCACCACCACACGACACTCCTCCTCTGACAGAAAACCGGGGATCTCTGTCAGGAACAAGAAGCAGAAGCAAAAGCAACTCGTTGAAATCATTAGAGGTTTGGCAACAGTGCAAAAAAAAATCAGCAACGTTCATTTCATGCTTTGAGATACAAAATCACCTCAAAGACATAAATGAGCTCAAGATGAAAATAAATATCCAGGTTATATTATAGGGTAAAGAGCTCAATTTGGAAATAGACCAGGCAAATCATGTGGAGCGTGGGTGGATTTAATCAGTATTTGCAGATTATCTRTTGTTCATGTTTCACACCATAAATGTTGATGTGTGAGAAATAACCAAGGTGTAACAACAAAGACACAATATAATATAAAGTAAAATACCAAAAATGAATAATTGACAATTTGTTGACATATTCAGTTAAGAAACAACTTATTTAAAAGAACAAACTGACTTGGGCAATATTGGCAAAACAGTTTATCAMGATTAATTGTGGCATTTAGTCGCCAACTGCAWTTAGTGTCACKTGATGATWATGTACCTTTGTGTGTGACACACTATCACTATCAGGCACTCATGTGAGCCCAATGGCTGAAAGCTTTGCAGAGCAACTAATGCTAACTCTAACCCTATGAACTTGTTTAATCACCTGAAACACCAACATCAACCAAAGTAGGAGGAAAGACAGAAAGGCCACGKCAGTTACATGCAAGTACAATTGTCAKCCATTAGTTGCCATWATAATAGTAATAGCAAAGCAGCAAATATTAATTACTGACAGTATTTATGATGWTCAATTGCACACCATAGGATTTTGCCCAACTCTATTAAATAACAYAAATAAAAATAAGGTCTAAAAGAACAGGAACTCCTAAAAGACAGTGTTGGAACTGTGTATCCTAACGAGAAACAACTATTCCCTTCTGTTTTCAGACATTAAGTCCCCTGTGGTACTGCCTTCCCAAAGGTAGTTTTAATAAGCAACAACACTAGACTGCAGGCTTCAGGGAACCAGAAACTAAAACCAATTACCACAAAGAATTAAAACATTTAGAATTGACAATGCTCATTYTAATTAGCAGAAACTAAAATTTAAAGGTCATACTGAACCAAAGCACCCCGAGTAAAAACTAAGTCATGCACTTTTTGTTTTTAATTAGAGCACTTATAAAATTCTGAAACTACAAATCAAAAAATCATAATTGAAAATTACTCAATTTTTCTCAAAAAACAAACAAAAAAACAATATAGTCTAAAACAAGTATCATTGCAAACAAGATGTGTGTTTATAAAATTTGCAAAGTATTGCATCCATCCATCCATCCATCCATCCATCCATCCATCCATCCATCCATCCATCCATCCATCCATCCATCCATGTTTCTTCCTTTCAGGGTCACGGGGGTTACTGGTGCCCATATCCAGCAGTCACAGTGTGAGGGGCGTGGTACACCCTGAACAGGTCGCAAGTCCCATCACAATTTAAACAATGTCCCCACTTTTTGGCAAAGGAGGTTTTATTTTTTTAGATTATAATAAGAAACACACACGCACGCACGCACGCACGCACGCACGCACGCACACACACACACACATACATATACACAGTATATAAACTGCTCCATCATTTAGCAGATTGCTGCTAAAGTTCACCCCACCCACCCACCCCCCAATAAATAAAAGACTTCCGGCAGGTCAGCTACTCGTACAGTAGAGGCATTGTTTGTCACCCGTGTCTTTTACACTGTACCCTCGGTTAATCCCCATTGTCCAGTCAAGCCTCATTAATCTGGATAACTGATATGAATGAAGTGGGTCTGAGACTTCCTCTTCTCCCTCCCAACACCACTGGTCTTTCTCCCCCGGAAAGGAAGTGACCTGCTTGTCAAAAACAGGAATCAGGCCAGGGCTACACAGCAGGACAACACTTTTTTTTGTTCCGTGCCCTCTGCACATGTTCTCACACTATCAAATGCCCGTGCAGAGTTCACTTTTTGCCAACTTCTCTTGAGGGTTTATTGGTCAACAATGACCCCAGTCTGTGAGCAGATAATGGTCTTTTTACTATAACAAGTATGTTCAGTCACTTGGTTGAAAGTTATTAAAAACACACTAATCAGAAATCTCTTTTTCAGTGTACAATAAAAATGTCAAAAACAAAACAAGGAGGGCAGCGCAGAATTATAAGTAGGTAATTAAAAAATGGAATTGAAAGGGAGTAGACGGTTTATTACATGAGATCTACCTTCATAAATTCAAGCTACCAATAAAAATCTATTTAATGGTATTACTTCTACAAACTTTTAGTATCTCATATGCAGTCAAAGTGAACGAGCATCCCTTCTAGTACCCCACCCCTTCTCCCTGCCCTCCACACCTCCTCTCTATGAAAGTCTGTTTACCGCCCACTATAAAAACACCTATTCTACCATCCTCTCCTCCAGTTTCACACAGCTCATCATCACTTAGGGTTACCTTCTAACACCCAAACTCTGTTTCAGGACAAATCAGTTTTAGTATTTTATAATCAAAATGTCCTCCTGTTCAGTTACCCTACTGCTTCTCCTTCTGCTTGTTGGGCCTAGCAGCACATTAGCCAGGCCTGGTAGAAGCAGGACGTGGCTGGAGGGGCACGTAAGGACAGAGGGAAGGGTTCGATCTGGACTTAAGAACAACGGTGGAGACGAGGCAAGCGCCGACAGCCGAAAAGAAACCGAAGTTGGAGATCCCCGCGCGTTTAAACCAGGAGTTCCAGCAGGAGACGACGGGGAAGCGTGGAGGGCTGCCGCGTCCGTCTTCAGGTCCACATTTTCATTCAGCGACGGTCGACTGTGGGAGCCTCGCGTCTCGTCTCGCTGTGTGCCCATCCCGTCGGGCATGGCCTTGTGCCAAAACATAGGCTACGACACCATGAGGATGCCGAACCTGCTGGGCCACGATTCTCCGGCCGAAGCTGTGCAACAAAGTGCCAGCTGGCTGCCACTGCTCGCCAGAGAGTGTCATCCAGACGCTCGCATATTCCTCTGCTCTCTGTTTGCTCCCATCTGCCTCGACCGGTACGAAGTCTAACCTTTCAAATTTACTGACTTAGGTTGGTTTTTTTTTGTAAGAACTCTGGCTTTCATGACCCAATAATGACAGAAGAAAGGTTTTGTTTTAGCAATGCAAAGCAAAATTTCAAAYTGCTATTTACAATGATAAACGGGGTGGGGTCATCAAAAGAGTGCCTTTTGACACTTATGCAAGTTTGTGCTAGTTTCRTTGAAGAGGTTTGCCATTTTCCTTTTTGTCACATTAGAACCATTTAGTYGGAGGGAAAAAAACAACCAGATATTAAATGTTTTCAATCACATGACATTTTTCCCCCACCACTCTGCACTTATTATGTACTTTAATCTCAACAATGCTGCTCGTATATTTTTCTGTTTGTTTGTTTTGTTTGTTTGACAGGTTTATTTCACCCTGCAGAAGTTTGTGTGAATCGGTGCGGGACACCTGCGCGCCAATCATGAGCTGCTACGGCTACCCCTGGCCTGAAATCCTCCGATGTGACCGGTACCCAGCAGATCATCTCGTGTGCATCTCCTCTGTCACCAACACCACTGCCCACACARGCGTACGCGGAGGTGAGAATGTGCAGGCACATAATTAGGCCGACTTCATTAAACCAAATCAGTCAATTAGGGGTGTAACTCCTTCAGTGCCTCAGGCGAGCTGTCGAGATTGTGAGCTGGAGGAGGGCTCTTCGTCAAAGGACACACTGGAGACCTTTTGCGGGAGTGATTTTGGTGAGTACGATTAGATTTCCTCCACACTACACCGTTTTTTGTTTAGAACGAACTAAAGCCTGCCGCTCAAAGAGCACAACTTCCTGAAAACTTTTCCTCATCTGCCGTCTTTGCAGTGATAAAACTGCGTCTGATGAGGCTCAAGTACAGTCCCGTGAGTCTTTCTCAGTTCTCGCTAGCTGCTAAGCTGGACGTCCTGAAGCACGGACCCCTGTTCGGAGGGCAGATTCGTTCCCGTATYGAGCTGTGGCTGGAGAGGGACGCGACCTGCGTTCAGAACATGACCCGACAGCACCCGCGAGGCGGCACTTTCCTGGTGACGGGCACGGTGAACGGGGAGCACCTGGTGGTCAACAAGGCTTACGTTTGGCAAAGACAAGACAAGAACCTAATGGTGGCTGCGCGCAAGTGGAAAACTCACAGATGCAGGATCTAATGTTGTCTGTCTTGACTGAGTTAGAATTGACTAAAATAACAAATTGTGGTTAGGAAAGTAGAGTTTAGAAGCTTTGCCATAAACCTAYAAATGTATATAATACTGGTTCTTTTTGTTTTAATGGTTTTTGAAAAAAGCTAATTATGAAGAAAATATTACAGTTACAAAAAGCACATAAATTATCCACAAATCAACACGTAGACGTAAAGTTAAAAGTAACAAAAAAATATTCAATGTACATACAGTACTGTAATTTTATACCTTGACTAAGTATTGCTGCTTACATGTTTGCTTGCARCAATGGTTTGTCTTTTTGGACAAAAAGTAACAAGCAAAATATGTTTCTAACTGKCTATCAAGAAATCCACTTATTATAACCTAGTTTGAAATTAATAACATATGAATAACATATCCAACGTTCACTTTTAGATCAAATTTAAAGGCTAACAGCAGGATTTTCTCATACRAGGTTGAAAGCTGGTCATCTTGTTATAAAGATGAGAATTTAAGGTAAAGAAGGTTGGGCACACATTGGCTCAAAAACATTCAAGAAAAAAAATATTAACCACAGTGATAAGTTTATTTACCCTCTCTATAATATATATTTTTAAATCTCATTCAGTGAAATTTAGTATTTTCTTTAAAAAGGATCTTGCAGTTTATGTTGCTTTGACGATCTTTAACTACTTCTGAATATCATTAAAAACACTGCTTGTTTTAATGAACAATACTTCCTCCACCACCTTGTGAAATGTGAACTTTGCAGACATTACATGTAGCTGGACTGCATTCATCCATCTAAAATATCTACCTTCCATTAAGACTGCATCATACTTCAACCTGAGCWTTTTCTATAGAACAGTGGTGTAGTTGCTTATGTGAAACAATTAATCAGGTTTATTTTTGTGCTGAGTACAGCTCACATAGATCAGTCATTACAATAAAACATGCACATAACTTTCAGATCCAAATATAATCCATTAATTATAGTCATGTATTCACTAATCGCGCCTTCTAAGCATACATTTCAGCATCCTTACCAAACAGCAAAGGTTTCAGGCTGAGTGTCTTCATCTCATGTAGTCTGTCTGGTACAATGGACACTTGTTGAACATGTCCAACCTGCAGGCAAACAGAAAACAGTGTTAATATATGTTGGCATTGTGAATATTTAGGGATAAATCACATGTAATGCTGGTACAAGTCCTGGCAAAAAAAATGATGGAATCACTCCTTGTGGAAGCTGTTATTTCACTTGTTTCAAGTGATTATATTACAGCTTTATTTACTGTTTCTTAATGTATATATCAAGGATGTTGATTTTATAATTTTTTGCCAGGGGTTGTAGTTTTCCATCATTTTGTAGCTCTGTGATCAGACTGTATATATTTAAGCTTGTGTGTCATAATGGATTTTATCATTTTAAAGTTATTTTTTTGGCTTTCAGTGTGGTTTGGACTTGTATTTTAGCTAGCCTGTTGGGATCAGGATACCTTTTTCTCATGATTGTGATCTTTGTGTGTATTTGCAATTTTCTTACCCGTATCCCCTCCATACGATGAAGACTGAAACTCAGGCTGTAGTCCTCCTCCTCCTCCTCGTCTTCATCGTGCATCTTCCCTAATGATGGAGGAGCAGGCTGGGGCAAACGACTTCTACTGTCACGGACAGGGGCAGCGGCATCCCCGTCTCCGCCGCTCACTAAATCCCCGGGGCCGTTGTTATAGTGCACGTACAGCAACAGGGCGATAACGTTCAGGATATACACATGGAAGAAGACCATGATCACAACAAAATAAGCCCGAGAGCAAACGTTGCTTCTCTGGATGTGCAACCGAGTAGACCGAAACGGTGCATTGTAATGCCGCATTGAATTCTTGCTGATGATGGGTTCCTCTTGCTCCTGCTCTAACAAATCCTCCTGAATCATGTCTTCCATTTTTGCACCACGCAAATGCAACGTGAACGACAAGGTTTATTTTCTGTAAGCGTTTAGCTGGCTGATTTACAGGCTAACCTAAGCTAACCAAACCCCACAGCTAACCTCTAGTTAGTTCGGGGGGAAAGCGATGTTGACGACTTGGATTAAGCCTTAAAAATACAGCGCAGCGTCGAGTAAGTAAAGTACGCCAAATGTCGTTTCCATTAATAAAGACAAGCGTCATCATTCTCCATTCTTGTTAGCTAACTGACAGATATGCTGCCCCTGACAACCTGCCTGAGTAGTGGCTGCACATCATCCTCATCCCAGCTTACAAAGCGGCCATCCGGATGGGTGGTCTTTGCATCTCCTCGTGACTACTTCTATCCGAGTTACAGTCCGGTAGATTGAAAAGGATTGTACCCGTTAACTAACACGTCACATCCTCAAAAGCTGTCGTTTGTGTGCTGCTGTAAATTGTTAGCGCCCTCTACCGATCAACATCCGAACAACAAAAACAATGACAAGGAAATTCTTGTAAATATTTTGGAACCCCCCCCCCCCCCCCCACCCACACACACACACACACACACACACAAGTAGTACGACACACACACACACACACACCCCCCCCCCCACACACACACACACACAATTTTAGCCGTTTTAAGACACATTGCTTACTGTGCTTCCACGTACTCAAGTTACTTATTTAGTCTTAACTAGAAGTGATGCTCAGAGGAGCAATGCTTTTTAAATAATGACTCAGTAATCAGGGACCAGTTAGTTTAACATGTTAAAAATCTATACACAATGTGCTCTCCTTACCAGGCACAAGAACTGTACAAAAGAAAGTTGGGAAAATATGTAAAGTCAAATAAAACTGTAAAAAATAGTAAAATCTTAATTGTTTATATATCATGTTACCTGCATTGTACGTCATTTCTGGTCCTGTATTATCTTGGGTTCTGCAGGTACTTGGGTATGGAAGCCCATTTCCGCCACCCTGATAATAAATAAATAAAACTTGTATCTCGTAATTTTGACTTAGCTAAGGTAGCTAAGTCATATTTATGAGATACTATCTCATAATTATGAGATAGTATCTCATAATTATGAGATAGCTAAGTCATAATTATGAGATAGTATAATTATGAGATAGCAAAGTCATAATTATGAGATAGCAAAGTCATAATGATGAGATACAAGTTTTATTTATTTTTTATCTCAGGGTGGCGGAAATGGGCTTCCAAAGATAGGTCCCCCCCTCAAAAAAAAAAAAAAAAAAAAAAAAACTGGGGCCCTAGAATTTAGGAGGCTAAACAAAAGAATCACTGTTCATTGTTTTGTCTTATTATGAAACTTGTTTCACATTTTAAAAAAATTGAATTCATTACTATTTTGTAATTATTTTATTTAATTTACTGTCATTTGCCTTTCTGTTTTTGTGTCATTAAACAACAAAAGTAGCCTACATTTTGGCCTCTAAGTGAAATCACCCTTCAGTTCCTCAAATCCACCACACGGTGGCGACAAAGGACGGAGATCAGCTGTTTCTCCAACTGTGCTGCGTCATGATCCCATGCTGTTTTTTCCTCTCTATTATTATTATTTTTGCTACCTATCCCTATAATAAGTCGTTTTCTTATTTTACTTAGCTTTTTTGTGAATCGTGTTAAAATCTTAGCATCTCGTATCCACAGTTTACACCTAGTAAAAATTTTTACTAGGTGTAAAAATATGTTTCTTAAGAGACAACTAATTGATTTTTTTTCTTTTTTAACATACGTGTAACAATGTTTACCTATGGATAAAAAAACATAAAAAATGTCTGATTTAGAAAACGATTAGCTTTTTTAATTTATTTTTTAAATATAGCCAGATTTGTCACACCAAATACAACTGTTGGATAATATGAGTTTTGATTTGTGTAACTTTCATATTTCCAGTAGAAAATTATTATGGCATTTCTAGTTTGCATATTTTCCCATACGATATTCCCATGAATTGTGTGCTTAGAATGGAGTTTAAATATTGTGATCTGATCGCTGTGCCTCTTGGATATATTTTTTTCTCCCTTTAATTTTAATTCTTTTATTTGACCTCTCTCGAGGTAAAGG